AAATCATCACTCAGCACAACTCAGAGCTGCCAGCTGTGCCTTTGGAGAACTTGCTTCCTCCATGACACTGCTGGCCCTACGGTGGCTGTGACACCAGCTGGTGCTGCTCCCTGCTCTCCTGCAAATCCCCCTGTACCCCCTTTTTCACAGTAAGATGTGCTCAGGTGTAGGCACAGAGTTTGTGGTAATTGGGAATGGGCTGCAGCCGTGAGCAGCACTGGCAGCAGTGAGCCATGGAGTGCCCAGGGGCACTGAGCAACCCCCAAAGGGAGCACAGGGCACACAGGGGCATGCATCAGCATGAAGGGGATAAAAGACTGGGCTAAAGAACAAGGGCAGGTGATTGCAGCCTCCTGAAGTGCTGTGGTGTTACTCTGTATGGGATGAAGCTTTCTGGTCATGTATGGTGATACTCTGTGTGTCATGGCTGTCTCACTGCAACATATGCTGAGACACTCCTGGTCTTCTCATTGCATATAAGTGTGTCAAACCTCTGCATTCCTGTAGCTTTCTGTAGTACTTCCATTAGGATACACAGCATTTCCACCAGGCAATTGTTAATCAAAGCCCTGAGCACATGTTTGATGGGCAGTTGTGCCTCCATTTTTTGTGCTGATGCTGAATTTTCCTTGCATTTCCTCTTGTTTTCCTGATGCAGGAGACAGATGATGTGGCCATCCAGAGGGAGAGCTGCCTGGACCATGTGGAGACTCTGCTGGCCTCCGTGTACAAGAGGGAGGAGCTGGACTGTGTCTTCCAGCTCTGTGCTCTGCAGAAAATTCAGGTAGAGAGCAGCCAGGTGCAAATTTCCCCAGTCCTGCACCCTCATGGAACTGGTGTCCCCATCTGCATGGCAGGAGCTGGATCTGCCTCTCTGACCGTGTGTCAGTGTCACATCCAGACCAAAGAGGAGCTGGTTTATCTTCAAGGCACAAAAGCTGCCCTCTTTTAGAGAATCACAGATTGGTTTAGGTTAGAGGGGGACCTTAAAAATCATCTTGTTCCACCCCTATCCATAGGCAGGGACACCTTCCACTATCCTAGGTTGCTCCAAGCCCTGTTCAACCTGGTCTGGGACACTTCCAGGGATGGAGTAACCACAGATTCTCTGGGCAGCCTGTGCCAGGGCCTCACAGGGAAGAATTCTTTCCCAATATTCCATCTAACCCTGCCCTCTGGCAGTGGGAAGCCATTCCCCCTTGTCCCCAGTCCCTCTACAGCTCTCCTGGAGCCCCTTCAGGCACTGGAAGGGGCTCTAAGGTCTCATTGGAGCCTTCTCTTCTCTAGGCTGGGCACACCCAGCTCTCCCAGCATGTTTCCATAGGAGGGCACTGTCCTTTCACCTCACTTTTTCCATCTCAGCAAAATCTTTCTGATTTACAATCAGGCTGCAGAACCCAGCTGTGGATGCTCTTTGCTTTTGTGTTGTCTCCTCTGCCTGACTTTGCCATCAAAGCTGACCCACAGCAGCCTCTGCTGAGAGCAGAGGGGCATCACTGGTCATGGATTGTTCTATTTTTCTCTGCTGCCTGGCCAGGAGGCTGCTCCCTGCCCCATCAACCACGGGGAGGTCAGAGCTGCCCAGTTATTTCAGGTGGAGGAATGTCTCACTGGGCTGTGTGCTTGCCTGAGAGATGAGTTCATGGGCTGGCCAGGATCTCCAGTCATCGCAGTAACACTGCCAAGCCTGATCCAAGCTGTGCCTCTTTGGCTCACTTCAAGACACCCTCAAACTATTTAAAGACCACGAGAGAAGCAGAATTGCTTCCCCCCTGGCTTGTCTCACCTCACACAGCAGTATGTACCTTGTTTATTCTTGGATTTTCCTTCCTCCCCTAACACACAGCCAGTGGATCTTACACCAAGTGCTGCTCTCAGGCTGCTGCCTGGATCTGCCTGCAGCAAGTTCTGCTTGCTCTGTACATGATGTGCTCCAGCATATGGCAGTGCTATCAGTCCTTGCTTGTTCCTGGAGCTCTTTTCTGAACATTTCCCTGTTTTTCTGCTTTGCTTTTAAGTGCAGACAGGAGACCTGGACCAGGTATTGCCAGAATTTTCTTGTTCCATTATACCTCTCCCTGCTCTTTACAGGTGTTTCAGGCACACTGCTGTGCTGGGGGTCTGTTTTCAGGGATTTGACAGCCACAAATGTGGAAATTCTCTTATTTCCTTATATTTTATAAAATTTTAAATAGTGCTAGGCTGTGAGTAGGTCTCTGTAGAGCACTGCTGGTTAAAGCTGTTGGCTTTTACAGTGTGAGGTGTGTTTTAGTTCACAGAATCCCAGAATGGTTAGGGCTGGAAGGGACCTTAAACCTCATCAAACAGGGATGCCTTCCACTAGATCAGGGTGCTCCAGCCCCATCCAGCCTGGCCTTGAGCACTCTGAGTGGTTCATGCTTTCCTCTCCCATGTGTATGGTTTTGGCCGTGGTGCAGCTGCTCCTGCTCCCCCGTGCCCCCATCCCAGGGGTGATGCTGGCAGTGGCACTTCCCTGGTGGAGCTGATGGGATCCCACATGGCCTGATTTCAGGAGAGGTCCTGAAAGCCAAAATCCGTGGCTGAGGCCTGCAGGCATAGTGAGCTGTATGAGTAAGTACAGCCCATTTTCTCTGGCAGCAGTGTTGCTCCATCGTGCCACAGCATGGGGCTGTGAGCCTGCACAGCAGCCAGCCAAGGCTCCTCCCTGGCAGCAGCACCAGGAGAGCTCTGCTTCCAATCTAACCCCCCCATTCACTGGGTGTTCTTTGTTCTCCCCTTCCAGACAGATGTGGTCCTGCAGCTGGATCTGCATTACACCCAGCCAAGCACAAACCAGAGGACTTGTGAGAGCCTGCAGACGACCCTGCAGAAATCCCTGCTGAGGCAGCTGTTCAGCCAGGGGAAGGGCTCGCAGCCAGCCCCTGCCCACACAGGCAGCGTGTGCCCACAGCGTGCCCCGGGGCTGAGCACTGAGCCCAAGGGCCAGGGCTCCCTGAGCACAGGCCACAGCCTGCCCAGCAGCGAGCCCGAGGAGAACGATGAGAGCGAGCTGGGCCAGCTCTGCTCGGCGCTGCCCCGGGCGGGCCCGGGCCGGGACAGGCCCTGAGCCTCGGCCCGCGGAGCTGCTCTCAATCCAGGCCTCAGCTGGAGTGCTAAATCTGTCAGGATCCACCAGCTGCTTCCCAGCCTTGGCACAGCCCTGCCTGAATGAGGCCAAGGCTGCTTTTTTGGAAAGGTTTCTCCTGTCTGTGCGCTGTGGCGTGCAGGGCCTCAGTTCCCACTGGGAATGTTCCCTGTCCCGTGGGAGCGTTGGGATCAGCAAGGAGTCATTGTGGTGTCTGGCAGGGGACACGGCCACCCTCCAGTCATAACACTGCCAGGAAGAAATGGTGTTGCTGCAAGGCAAGGGCTCAGGCTGATGTTTTCTGCCTGGAAACAAAAGTTGCTGCATTGAGAAGCCCACGAACACTACAGACCCCTCTGGCTCCAATCCCAGCCGTGACTGCTGGATCTCCCCAGCCCGTGCGAGGGACACAGAGCTGCACTGAGGGAGCAGGTGAAACATGTGGGCTCTCCACAGGGTCCCAGTGTGGTTTCCTTGCCATGCCTGTGTCAACGCAGGTGTTAAATTATGCTTTTATGTATTTCTGAAGCATGTATTTATAACGGTGGGGGGAGGCAGTAGCTTGCCAGGAAAAGGAAGGTCAGATGTTCCATCCAGTGTGTGTTTACATTGGAGGCTGGTGTTGCACTGGGCCAGGAATAGTGTCCAGGCAGGTGCACTGACACCTGCCCCTTCCAGCGTGGTACAGGGGCATTGGAGGGGGTTCAGCCCTCTGCAGTCCCCAGTTCTTCTCAGGTGCAGATATCCTACAGGAGTGAGAAAGGATAACTTCAAAAACATTATTATTAATGCAGATTGCTCTGTCTGTGTGCCTGTCTGTGCTGTGGGCAGCCTGAAGCACTAGATGGAGAACCAGCTGTCCAGGGAGAGCCACAGGTGAGCAGAACCCAAAGGACAGCCTGGGTGGGCACAGACCCCTCCCTGATTGCTTCCCTGATAAATGTTTGATTGCTCAGTAACAGCCAGTGACCCTAGGGAAGTGTGGGGTCTCCATCCTTGGAGGAAAGTTCACTTTGGGCTGCAGAAGGTTCCAATGACCTGATCCAAGCCGGCTGAGGGCTGGACAAGAGCCCACTGGAGATCCCTTCTGTCCTGGGGAAGAAAGAGGTTGGAGGGCAGAACTTCTTGAGAGGTCAAGGGCAGTGGGGTGGGGAGAATGCCTGAGCTCTGTGTAGCTTTAAAAAAGGGTTGGAGGCAGAACTTTGTTTTGCTCTCCTTCAGCAGTGAAGATACATCCCTGTCTGTGGTGCCAGTTGCAGCATAGAAAAATCTGAAATGTTGCTTCCAGATAAACCATTCTGGAAGCTGGAAACCTGTCCAAAGAGAACAGAGGAGGTTTTTATTCTTCTCACAGTGAGTAGAGCCAAGGGAAAGAAGAGGGGCCCCAGCTGGCTGTGGACTAGAAAGTCTCCTAGAAAAAAGAAATCTAAAGCTCAAAAAAATAAAAAAATTCAGAGGATGTAGTTTAAATAACATGGGCTGATAGAGAAGCTAAACCAGAAAATAATAAATTTCAGGATGAGCCAAAGATCAGCTCAACAGCAGCAACCACTGGGGACAGGTCAGCAGGCATTTGGGAGGAGCTGGGGCTCTCTTGCCTCTGAGGATTATTCACACCCTCCTGTGCTGTTGAGGCACTGAGGCACAGCTTGTTCCTGGCTCACATTATCATGCCAGGTGTCATCCAACGTGAATGTTTATCTCATTTGAAGCAAGGCTGTTTATTTTTTCTGAATAAAACACTATTGGTGTTTTTAATGCACAAAGCTTCACATGGCTCTGAGTTAACTCTGTTTATTTCCCCCCTAATTGCCAGGATGTAACTTAATATTGATCTGCTGGGGTTTCATGCTTCCAGCCTGAGCTTCTAGGCTCTTCTGGGTGAGCATTGTTTCTTTTTTTAGGTAACTAAAAATACTGAAGTTTGGATTTAGAAGGCAGATCAAGTGACTAGATAGGAAGAAGTGATGTCAGATGAAAAGTGTAGATAAGAAACCAGTCCTCATTCGCTGTGATTTGTCCACCTGCTTTGTAAGTGTGGCTCTTGGGTGGTCTCAATTCCACCAAAAGGTGGATTTTGTGTCCTGGGCCTCAGCTGGAGTCACTGTAGGGGGGGATGGAGCTATGGATCCTTCATCCCCACCTTCACATGTGAAATCCAAACTCCCTCACAATGGTAAATCTGTTTAGTGCCAGTAAATTTTCCTGGAAATCTGTGTTTCCATCTCCCAGCATCCAGGACAAACAAGGCATCCCAAGACTACCACGTGGCTTTCTGATCTGCACCTTGGGCTCCAGGGCCAGCTGGAAGGGTGGGAAGGGAGGAGGGCTCAGGCAGCAGCAAACAAAGCAGGATCAAGACATCAGCTCCAGTTTTCCTCCCCTTTCTGCCTCCTTACCTTCCACAGCCACTGCCCTCAACTTCCTCTGTTTCTGGGCCAGTCTGTGCCCAGGGGCTACAAACAGAACCATTTTTGTAGGTAATACAGGTGCTTTCCTTCCCCCAAGTCTTAAAAAAGCACCAAGTGAACTGAAGCTTTAAAACAACGTATGATGAAAATAGCAGCACCTAAATATTCAATAATTTTATTTTTAGAGAGATGCCCTTCTTTTCTGCTCTGCTAATGCAGATGTGTTGAAGGGAAGGACCTTGGACAACAGCCTGATATGATGTTCTGCTACAGAATTCATTTGGGATGCAGTTTTCTGCTTATTTGCTGAGGTTTGGCAGTTCCTGACAAAACAAGGCAAGTGTACCCAAAAGGATTGAGAAAACAAGGCAGTGAAAATCAGAGAAATCAGGGAATCTTGGACATTTCAGTCTCTTACTGGAAAATCCTGGGCCCAGGTGCAGTCAAGAGCTGTGTTACACGTGCATGGCAGATCCACCCCAGCCTGGCTCCCTTCTGCTGGCAGCAGATTCCTGAAGGTTTCTTTTCAGTTGGCATTTTTGTCATCAAAGGAAGGAAAAAGGTGGATTTGTCTCCTATCAGCCACACTCCAGCCTCAACCAAAGAAAGAAACACAAGATGGGTCCTTCATTTCAGGAGGCATTTCTGGGGGGAAAAAATCAGTATTATTGAGTAATTTCATTTACCAGCTCACTTAACTCTTTCCATGTTTTTGGAACAAATCCTTCTCCCTCACAGATGTAAATCTGAATTTACTCTTCAGAAGCTGTTAAGTTCTGCAGTAAGAGGTTTTCCATGATGTACAGAACCTGCCAGATCATTTCTTACCCCACATTAGGGGCAGAGTGCTGTTGATGGAATGTGCTTGCAGTGTATTAAAATGTGTAGAGGGACACACAGGGGAATTCCAAGATTCAGCAACATGGTTTTGGTCTTCTTTCCCTGTTTTTTAGAAGTAGCTTCTCATACAGGCAGGAGAGATCCTGAAGGCATTCAGGAGCCATTCACTCCCAGGAAGGAAGGAGTTTCCCAAAGGACAGGTTGTGTTCTCTAGAAGTTAATGCTGCCTTTCATGTGGACAGGAGTGAAGAGGATGATCTTGTGAACTGATGGGATATGGGAATCACCTGTTTTCTGAAATGCTGAGGCTTGCTTTCATTAGCTGAGGATCACTTCTAGAACACCAGGTACTGGGAATCAGCTTCCTCTGAGCACAGCAGGACCATGCACAAGGCAGAAATGGGAGAGACAGGCTCAGCTCTAGTGAGGAGGGAACCTTTAAACCCAGGTGCTGCTCTCGCAGCCAGTGTGTCACAGACAGCCTTTATCCATCATGTTTTGCACATGGAGACACCCACAGCTCTGCTCTCCTCCCCCAGTGCTGGCAACAGTCCTGCTTCCAACAGAAATTTGGATTATGTCCCTCCCAACCAACGCTTGGTTGTGCCACAGAATATGCCCAGAAGAATACAGGTGGTCTGAGGGATTCTGAGCACCAAACTGGGAGTTTCAAGACTGTTTCAGTGAAATATCCCTGCTCCCTATCCAAAAAGCAAACAAGGACCTTGGTTCAGCTTAGCTGGATTCAAAACTTATAGAACAAAACTCGTGGCAGGGCAAGAAAATAAGGAAAAAGTGGTAAAAGAGTTCATTTGAAAATGTCATATTGTTCAGATTCAGTTCTTTCAGGCCTCCCCATCAGGTGGATGGTTCAGGAATGAAACCAGGAGCACAGTTTGAAACAAAAGGGGTGAGTAAGTGAAGCCATCCACTGTCAAGGTGATAAACCTGAGATGACTCATGAGGAGATTCACACTGCTGACCTTCATTCAGGCAGCTCTGCAGAGACTGGGCACCTCCTGGGGAAGCAGGAGCAGGTCTGGTGCCACTGTGAAGCTTGCAGACCACGATTTTCTTATTAATGGTGAGAAATTATTGATAGCACAGACTTTTCATGCCGTCCCAGAGTTCTGTCCTCTATCACAGATTATTTCAATTACTGTTTTGCAATTGTTACTAATCTCTTGAAATTAGGTCTGTAACATCATGTGGCACTGAAGAGAAAAACACATCAAAAAAAGGAGGCTCCTTGAAGCGCTTGAAATTGCTTCTTATCTTCACAGTTTGGATAACCTTTCACATAACAAGCAACAATTTCAAATATATTGGTCATATCACCCCCTCAAAGAGATAGAAGACACACTTTGAAATTACAGACCAGACTTCATGTGCAGGAGAAGAGCTGACGTGGTGTCACACAGTGAGGAAAAGCTAATGTCTCTTTGATAAATCTGTCTTCACTGAGTTGGATTTTCTTGCCACAGTGTCAGGAATAGTTGACGAGACAGACGTGTTATTAAGTGGTAAAAATAAACAGATGGAAGAGAAAAGTGAGAGATTTCAGCTCTGACTTTCCAGAATGTTGCAGCAAAGAATAACCTCCTCATTTCCATTCCCTACCAGAGATGAAAAATAGGCAATACTTACTCAAGGACTGCATGGCTGGAGAAATGGGGTCCCATGTCCCCACCTGCCCCATGTGAGATGGGCAGTTTGGGGTCCCAGAGAGGAGTGCTGGTCCTGACCTGCTGCTCCTCCAGCTTCAAAGTCACCATTATGGAGAGCATTGGTGCCTGACCACATCAGCACTGCCTGCCTTGGGTCCTGCTGGGAACTGGAACCTGGTTTTGAGACCAAACCCCTGCACTTTCCCTCTTCTCTCACTCCTTCCCTCCATGGAGGATGCAGCACTTTGGTCAAGGCTGTGTTCCTGAGAAGGGAAAGGACAGAGGACAGGCAGGCTGGAGATACAGGCACTGCAAGAGAGCCTCACTCCAAGGCAGACATGGAGGGGCTGGAGTGTGTCCAGAGCTGGGAAAGGGTCTGGAGCTGCTGGGGGGCTCAGCCCAGAGGAAAGGAGGCTCAGAGGGGAGTGCTTGTGGACCCCCAGCCAGGAGGGTGCAGCCAGGTGGGGATTGAGCACTGCTCTCATGGAACAAGGGATAGGATGAGAGGAAAATGACTCAAGTTGTAGCAGGGGACCTTTAGATTGGGTTTTGGTGAAAAGTTCTTCACAGAGAAAGTGATCAGGCATTGGTGCAGGTTGCCCAGGGCAGTGGTGGCGTCACCATCCCTGGAAGTGTTCAAAAAAACGTGGATGTGGCACTTGGGGACATGGTTTAGTGGTGAACCTGGCAGCTGGACTCAATGATCTTAGAGGGCTTCTCCAACCTTAATAATTCCATGATCCTATGATTCTATAAAATGTTTCATCCCCTGGAATGTGATGGTAGAGCACCAGCTCCTGCAAATGTGACACTGAAATAGGGTCAGGTGGCAGTGTTGTAAGTGTGGGGGAGCTGATCTTGGCAGCTGGGGCCCTCACCACAGCAGGGCACGACACAAAATCCACTTTTCTGAAGAGCTGATGGTCAAGGGATGTTGTTCCCAAACCTGGCTCATGCCCAGGCCATTGGGCATTGCTGGAAGAGCAGAGGGTGGCTTCTGCTGTGTCACTGCAGCCACCTCTTGGCCTGCCTGTGTTATTCTTCTGTGTCACTTAATATTAAATTATAAAATATTAAATCAGATAAATACCTCTAACCTTTATGGATGATAAGAAAAGATATTGTTCAGCCTCCTAAAATGCCTTGTATTCACTGGAAAATGCTAATGGGATTATATAAAGGTTATTTCAGCCTCCTTTCAAGTCTGGAGACGTGGCAAAACAATCATGATGCCCTTTGTTTATGCCTTTTTAATGACTGCTTTTACCTTCAGGTATTTGATGCTTCTGCATCTTTTCAGGTGATCCTCTGGGAAGTCCTTGGACTGCTTTTTCATGGAAATTTCCTGAGGAATGTAAATGTGCCTGTGATTTTAGAGGTTTGGAGGAGAGCTGGGGTGTTGGAGCACTCTGGGAGTCTGGCAAGGGTTTGATGTGCTTGTTTAGATGATTTTGTGTATTTTGCAGGTCAGGAGCTGCATCCACAAGCTCCTGAGCTGTGTGTGCAGCAGTGCTTGCACCCCTGGGGCACTGCTCATGTCCTTCCCTGCCTGTGGGCCTGTGCCAGGCTGCTCAGGGAGGAGCTCAGAGTGTGGCACAGCCCTTTTGCAGCCTCCAGTGCAGCGGGACTTTGCTACAGTCTGTGCAGCAGTGAATTTCTGGGTAAGAAACCATTCATGATACAAAGAAATACAGAAATAATGTCCCACTCACTCTGTCCTCTGGGAAGGACCTCCCAAGCCCATGATTTCCTCTCCTTTTTTTGTTGTTATTAATCTTTTCCACAGGTTTTGATTTTTTATTTTTTTTTTTTGGCTAAACCTTGTGTCCCAAACAGCTCCAATGTTGTGCAGGGAGCTTGTGGTGGCCTGATAACCTCCCTGCTTTCCAGAGCAAAGCAGAGCACCAGTGCAGCCCAAGGCAGCCTGTCATCATTTCTAGCAAGTGAAACATCACCAAAGAATCGGTTCTCAGCAGGGAACTCCACCCACAGCCCATCTAACTGGGCCTTGGGCACTTCCAAGGATGGGACAGCCACGACTTTGGGCAACCTGTGCCAGGGCCTCACCACTCTCACAAGGAAAAACCCTTCTGAGCCTAGTTTTATTGTGTTAATAGATGGAGTAATTGGAGAGGAAGAAGAAATTGTTCCTGGAGAGCAGAGGGCAGGTTAGCTGAGCCAGCAGGTTTGCATCTTTCACAGCTGGAAGGAGAAGGTGGCTGTCACTGCCTGTGGAATACAAAAGCATTTGGCCAAGAGCAGAGGCAGAGAAGGTGGTGCATCTCTCATGTCTGGTGGAGATATAAATGGCACACTGCATTACTGAAAATTATAATTCTCTTTTTAGAAGTTATTTTGCAGGTGTCCCTGGAGGGTCATGCCTGGGAGGGCAGAGCAGAGCAGAGCAGCTCCTCTGGGAGAACTGTGTTCTCCTGCCCATGGGGCTTTTTCATGCACGTTGCCTGTGCAAATTCAACAGCTGTTGAGTTTCTCACATCCTTTTAAAAACATCTCTCCGGCATCTGTGTTAATGAGGGAAAATCTGCAATTTAATCACTAGCACAGCCTTTCCAGTTTGGGGATAGCCTTTCTCAGTGCACTGCTGGCATAGTGGAGCCCCTGGAGCCCCTCCTGAGCCTGCTGAGTGCTGCAGCCTCCTGGGTGCCCACCTGCACAGACCATCACACTGGCATCACTGCTGGGCTCCCCCTGACACTGCCTGCCCCAGTCTCCCTCTCCTGCAAGCCATGGAGTCACTGTGGTGGCCAAAATGACAAGAAGCAGCAGAATGACCCTCAGCTGTAACCACAGACCAGGCTGCAGCTCCACTGTGGGCAGGGAGAAGCCCCAGCCTGCACTTGAATTTCAGTGAACCACAATCACAGACTGGTTTAGTTGGAAGGGACCTTCATGCTCATCTTGTTCCACCCCTGCCATGGACAGAGGCACTTCCACTATCCCAGGTTGCTCCAAGTTCTGTCCATCTTGGCCTTGGACACTTCCAGGCTTGGGGCAACCTGTGCCAGGGCCCTAATTCTGGATAAACACACTACTTCAGCTCTTTTGTGCTATAGCCCTTGAATGAAGCATTGGGCTTGTGAAATGGTAATGTCAAAGTTAATTTTGCAGCAAAAGTGAGATCTCAGCTGGAGGTTTCAGCCTTTGCACAGGTTTGGGACAGTTCTACCAAGGATGTAATGGAGAACACCAAAAAACATGCTGAAAATTGCAATCAGTCTTGGGGGGGAAATGGAAAGATTTTGGGCAGAAGAGAAGATTTATTGAAAGCATAAGATCAATCCTTCTAAGTAGTCTGCATGCCTGTGTTGTCAGGGCCTGGAGTTCCTTGGGTCATGGATGCCTTTCACTCTGTTGTGGTTTAACACTGGCCAAACACAGGCACCCACAAAAGTCATTCACTTATCTTCTCTTGTTACAGAGAGCTGGGCAGATGAGAGGGAAAAAAATTTAACAAAGAGCTGATGAGTTGAGATAAAGGCTATGAGAAAAAACACTCTAAGGGCAAAATGGGTTCAAATTTAAAGGTATAAAGTAAATTTATTATTAGCAATCAGAGGAGGATAATGTGAAGTAAAATAAGCTTTTGAAACACCTTTTTTCCCCCCAGCCCCTTCCTATTTCCCAGCAACAGCACAGGGAGACAAGGCATGGGAGTTTTGGTCAGTTTGTCACTTGAGATCTTTTGTTTGCTTGGGGACAGGAGTCTTGTCCCTGCCTTCCCAAAACTGCTGTGGTGTGGGTCACTCGTCCATGGGGTGCAGTCCCCCGGGGATAGGCTGCTCTAGTTTGGGCCCTCTCTCTGGCAGCAGAGGGCAGCAGAAGCCTTCTCTCTTCATTTGGGTTTCCCACTGGATCACAGCTTTCTCTGGCATCCACCCTCTCTGGTGTGAGCGCTTTTCCCATGGGCTGTGAGTGGATCTGTGCATCCCCTTGGACTTCATGCATTACAGGGGGACAGTTTGTTTTAACACAGTCCTTACCACGACCTGCAGAGGATTCTCAGCTCCAACACTCGAAGCTCCTCTTCCCCCTCCTTGTTTCCACTGACCTCAGTGCCACCATGTTGTTTTCCCTCTCATGTTCTCACTTCCTCTTCTTCTCTGATGACAAGAAAAACTGTTGCTTGTAGGTACCATTGCCAACAAATTTCACTAATTTAAAAAAATTCTTGCAGGATTTCACAGCATCAAAAGGTCAATCTTGTCTAGGTTCCACTGGGGAGTCACTCACCATGTTTTTGCTGCCGGCCATGGGACCCTGAGACAAAGTCCTGTTTAATGCTCATCTATTGCCATGGTTTGGCATTAGCCCAGCTCAACTCCTCCCACAGGACATTCAGAAACACATCACAGCCCTCCAGCAAACTCCAGTGGCTTCCTTCAGGCCACTTCAGTGGTGGGAACAAAAAGACTGTCCCAGACACACGTGGTCCCTGTGCCATGGGCAGAAGTGCAGAAGCTCTTCCTGAGGTCCTGGTGTCATGCACATCCTTCTTGAGGAATGTGACATGCAGCAGTAGGACCAGAGGAAATGGCCTCAAGTTGCAGCAGGGGAGGGTTAGGTTGGATATCAGGAGAGATTTCTTCACTGGGTATTCTGTGACATGGAAAGGTGCTCCAGGAGAAGATGACATAAGCTACCTCCCAAAGAGGCCAGTTCCTTTATTACCTGTTTCCTTCCTACCTCAACCTACTTACCTACCTGGAGGTGATAATTTTCCTGTATACCTCATTGTAATTTTATTCTCTGGCTTCATCAATGCTTTAACAAGCCCTACTTAGCCCTTTCATAGGAAGAGGTTTTATGAGCCACAATGCAGTGAGGCTGCTTATTCATTCCTGGCTCCTCTCCACTATTTTCCCTCACAGGAAATGCTGCTGATTCCCGGCAGGCTGCAGTGAGAGTGCTGAGTGCATTTCTCTGCTACACTGGCATGAGTCAATACGAGTTCAACCTTTGGAAAATTGTTTCTGGAAGGCCAGAGACATTTGTTTCTCCTACAGTTAAACATCTTTTGCTGACACATCAGAGCCACCACAGCCCATTGCTCAGTGTCCTGAGTGACAGCCCAGCTTAGCTGAGGCCCCGTGGATGCCTAACAGGATCAAAAAAGGACGTGAAATGCTCTAATGTCTGCAGTTAATGGGGTCAAAGGAGGCCCACAATGGAAAACTTCATTTTCAGATGACTTTTGACTGTGCCATTACAGTGCTTTCTCAGCATCGTCTGTCATGTTTTTAAAGCATAAAAAGCATTTTCTTCTTAACAAATCTTATAAATTTTTTTTAATTCCTGAAAAGCCCATTTGTCACACCCCCTTACAGTTTCCTATCTTTTTTTTTTTAATTCCTGAAAAGCCCATTTGTCACACCCCCTTACAGTTTCCTATCTTTTTTCCTTTCTCTCAAAGCTTGGTTTGAACAAAAAGTATTCAGAACCCTGCACTTCTTACGATACCCTGTGCACTGATGGGGCTTGGAGCAACCTGGTCTAGTGGAAAGTGTCCCTGCCCATCACAGCAGGTGGAGCAAAATGAGCTTCGAGGTCCTTCCAACCCAAACCATTCTGGGATTCTATGACTTTCTAACTTTTAGGAAATTGATATTGCAACTAATACTGCTTCTCAGGAGCTGCAGCCCCACAACATGTGGCTGACAGCTGTGACCTCTCCAGGGGAGTAATTCCTGCTGATTAATTCCAGCCAGTCTCCAGAAGGTCTTTCACAGGGGCATGGAACTGTGTCCTGTGTGGTACCAGTATGGGCTGTCCCACAGGGCAGAGGGTGCAGAACCAAAGGTGAACAGGGGTCAAAGGCAAGGCAGGAATGAGAGGCAACACGGGGAGAGAAGATGCAGGAGGCAGAGGAAATGCAGGGGGAAGAGGAGGTGCAGGTGCAATAAGTAGAGGCAGAGGTGGTGCAGGAGGCACAGGACATGTAGGAGGCTGAAGCTGCACTGACTTGTCTACATTTATCCCCCTGCAGTAGGTATGGGGGGCTCTGCCCTCATGTGTGAAACAATGCAAGACACAAAGTTGTAGCCAAGACATTTGTGTTAACAAAATCAAAACCAAATTGAAAATTTAGCAGATTTTCCAATGTGCTGGTTTTTCCCTGGACTGAGAGCTTGGTGGAAGGATTACCCAGGGAGTGAGAGCAGAGCAGCAGAGTGCCCTGATTTCCTCAGGGTGGATCCCAGTTTCTGATCCAAATGCATTAGTATGCCTTTGGTATGTCATTAATAAGTCAAATGGAAGACAAACACAGAGGATTTTTTTGCTCACCTGTGGGATTCCTAGAAACTTGAAGGTTTGAAGAGCAAGAAGAAAAATCCTCTGATTTCTAGTTATCCTGTTGTCCCTAGTTATGAAGAAAAGCCTCTGCCCCAGACTGGGAACAGTTTAAAATCCAGCTCCTCAGCACAGCTTGTGGGATAAAGCCTGAGAATGTGCTGCCCTGCCTGGGGCTGGACCCACCCCACTCACACCCAGCTCCATATTAAATTGCTCAGATGCTTCCCAGTCCCCCATGACCTTTTAACTACACCACGGGGAGGATCAGCAGGGTTCCTTGTGAGCACCTGGGAAAGTGCCAGAGGTCATCTCAACAACCAGAAGCATGAAGAAGGGTACTTAAATATGTAAGTGCCAGGGAAGAAGTGGCACAGGTTGGGGGGGTGAGGGGAGGGGCCTGTGCACCAGAAACCCCCATTTCTGAGCTATTTTATCCTTATTCTAGTAGTGGAATTAGCTTCTGCACATTAGCCCCTTGTTTTGGGGCTATGTTGCCCTTAATCCTTGTTTAACATCTGGAAACATATTGGTATGTTCTAATAAATACCTCTCCTAGCTCTGTGTGATAATTTGAAGCAGAAGAATTTAATCTACTGACCTTTTCTTTCCCACCTTATCTTAAACTTGGTCATGTTGGCTGCCTGTTCCTCCTGTTGGGAAAAACATCCCACTCACCCCTCAGCTACACCTGTACCATGTACTGACCTTGTGCCAGTCCCATCGCTCTTTTTGTGAGCGTGCGAAGCAATTTCTGGAGCTTTTTGGGGATGTTTTTCAAGCTACAACTGCACTGATACTGCTTGGAGTGTGCCACTGGCAGTTTAAGACAGGGAACCCTTATGGAATTATTTTTCCTGCAACTTTCTCAAGCTTTTGTTTAAACTTTTTACCAAAGTTTGGGAGAATTTCCAGGAGCAATGTGGGCTGTGGTCCCTCTACCCCAGCAGCTGGATCCCACCTGGGAGTCAAGTACCTCAGTCTTTGTTTCTGCCCACACAACTGCTTGTTAGACTAAGTGTAAGCTGAACTTGAATCCTGGCAGCAGTTCTGGGCCCCTCATGACAAAGTTTTGAGGGCCTGGAGCACGTCAAGGGAGCTCAGCCTGAAGAAAGGGAGGCTCAGGGGGCACCTTCTGGCTCTGCATAACTCCTGACAGGAGGGGACAGCTGGGTGAGGCTTGGGCTCTGCTCCCAGGATGATGAGAGGAAATGGCTTCAAGTTGTATTACAGAAGGTTTAGGTTGGATATTAAGGAAATTTTCTTCACTGTAAGTATGTTCAGGCACTGACTCAACTGCCCAGGGCAGTGGTGGAGTCCCTACCCCTGGAAGGATTTAAACATAAGTGGATGTGGCACCTGGGGACATGCTTTAGTGGTGAACATGGCAGTGCTGCATTAATGGTTGGACTCAATTATCTTGGAGGGCCTTTCCAGCCAAAATGAGTCCATGATTCTATGATGAGGGAAGATTCAAAGTTTAATTCCTTCCCTGAAGAGCTTTACCAGCCTGGATCTGTTCTCTCTGGTTCACAGAGCCGTCCCACTGCCATCACATGGGGCAAGTGGAGGCACAAAGGCAAGAACAGCTCAAGCCCTTGTCACCCTGGGAAATGTATGGGGAAACCATGGTGCTCCCCAGCCACTGCAGCCACTGGAGACATTGCTTCATCAGGAGAGGGAATGGACACTGCAGACCAGGAGACATTGCTTCACCAGGAGAGGATCTTGAGAAGGCTCTCTTGCCATAGACTGGAGAGTGGGAGTGACTCTCTCAGAGGCAGCTGGAGAAGGAGAGGGGTCACTGTGAATCCCACTGGTGTTCAGCAGCCATGAGGAGCCCCTCAGGTGCTCATAAATGAGCAGAGCTGCTCATGCCAGCTCTTCTCAGGCACAGCCACACAAAGCCCAGGGCTCTGCTGTCAGCTCAGAGGATTGCACAGAGGGTCCTTGCTTGCCCAGACCTTGGAGCATGTCCATACTCTCTGGAGCCTGCAGACTGGAGAAGGAGAGGGGTCGTGAATCCCATTGGTGTTCAGCAGCCATGAGGAGCCCCTCAGGTGCTCATAAATGAGCAGAGCTGCTCATGCCAGCTCTTCTCAGGCACAGCCACACAAAGCCCAGGGCTCTGCTGTCAGCTCAGAGGATTGCACAGAGGGTCCTTGCTTGCCCAGACCTTGGAGCATGTCCATACTGTCTGGAGCCTGCAGCTCTCATGGTGAAGAAAACTGGCTGTCTGGAAGTTATTCTCCTGGTCGAGTAGTAGAATGGGTTTGGTATTGCACCAGAAAAAGCTGATGTGGGCAAGGTGCATCCTTGGCATTTCAGCAGGGTTTGACTGCAACCTCCCTGCAAGAAATCTCATCATGTCTCCAACTGGGAATACACCAAATTCCAACAAATGGGATTCAGAAGCATGTTAGGGTATGAAACAGTCCTTCTCCATTGGAATTTTGCCACATTATGGTTCTTATTCCCGTTCCCAAACTCACTGGGATACATGGCTTTGTTCTCTTAGATTTGACTCAGGATTTAAGGTCAGGGCTCCATCACTGCAAGAGAGTATCACAACCACTACAAGTTGTGCTGGGTGAGGATGGATGTGGGGCAGAGGCAGGTTTTAGTGTGTTTGTGGTGAATCAGTGGTTGTACAGAGGGATCTTCAGTGACGACATGCACCAGCTCATCAATATTTGTGTCAATAAAGAAAAAGAAAAAAACAGTTTGGGGCAATGAAGAGGGCAGGGAGTGAGGGAGACCAAAAAGCCAAAGTGGTAGCTGTAAATGGTTTTAAATGCATACAGAAGACATCTGTGTAATTAATTACCCTGGTTTAAGTTACACCACTTTTTCATGTGTGGGTCGGTAACACCAAGGGCTACGGTGTTATCTTAGAGGAATGTTTGTGTCTGGGGATTCATACTCACCCTGCCAATAACAAATCTTCCCCCGAGTTTCTGAAACATTAATTACAGTTTTGTAACAGGCAAGTTTTGCAAGCAGCTCAAGGTAATTTACTACAACATAGACGTCTGGCAGAAACAAATGAATCGCTGATGTGAAAACTGACAGTTGCTTAGACATGAATGCTCAAGACTTTGTAATGTTTGTTATTAAAAATAAAATGGGTCTCACTGTCCTTGCCTGCCTCCTTACACTTTTCAACACATCGGCACCTGGGAAGAACCATTTCCCCCAGCTAAAAAGCAAGCACCAACAACCCCAAACAGGTTAAAAGTAAAAGTTAAGGTCTCACGTGTAGCTGGATGTAGCTTGAGGGTATTTCATCCAGGGGTTTCCCTCTCTGAGGTGCCACCAGTGTTGCTCTCCACTCAGGCCTCAGCACCTCCCAAGTGCACAGGGCTGCTCTGTACCTTGTCTCCTTAGATCAACAGCTTTTGTCTTTTCCACATTAAATTGCAGAATCCCAGACTGGTTTGGGTTGGAAGGGACCTTAAAGCTCATCCCGTTCCACACCCCTGTCATGGACAGGGACACCTTCTACTAGATCAGGGTGCTCCAAGACCTGTCCAGCCTTGGATACTTCCAGGGGTGGGGATTCCACAGCCTTTACAAAACAAGCCTAAAGGGAAAAAATTAAATTTAAAAAGAAAAACAAAGAGGAGGAAGATGTTTTGCTTCCAGATTTGTCAAATCACCACACTGGACTATAAATAAGAAAGGGAAGGTGGTTTTTAGGTCATGCTGAAAGACAGAGACTCTCCTTAGAGCATTTTGTGTATCTGCTGTCTTGAGGAAGGGACCCTAGCCACTCCAGGGCTGTCTCTCCTCCTGGGCCATCCGAGGGATGGAGCTAAATTCCCATTGGCATTACATTTCTTAATTATCACAATCCGTCAAATTACCACAGCTTTCCGGCAAGCTACAACTTGTTCAGGACTGTGACAGCTCTGAGTAAATTGTGTAACAAATGTCAGCTCTCTTACTAGATACAATTTAGAGGTTTTCATAGACATGTGCTAAAATTAGAGGTAACAGTTGCAATTTTGAAAATGTTTTCTGTTTGTGACTCCCTTTGTCCTTTTGGTCGTTTTTGGAAACTGGCAATCGCCTCCAAAAGAAGAAAAGTGATGACACTGATTCGGAAATCAAGGATGTGACGCTACATGTGTCAGCTAGAAAAAAGACTTTCTTTGCCCATGATGACAAAGAAAAAAATAATTATTTAACTAGATGAGAAACAAATGTAGTATGAGTAATGCTGTATGCCTGGTGCTGGGGGTAGATGGTTAAAATGTCAGTTCGTAGGAAGACAACCTCAAGAAATACTGTTTATTTATTATGATAGGAGTGTGCATATCCACACCTTGATACAAAATGCTTCACAGCATCTCAGAATCTTGAAGGTGGAAAAGAACTCCTGAGGTCATCTGGTCCAGCCTAGAGCTGGGCCAGCTAATGCTGGCTGCTCAGAAAATCCCAGCTGGTTTTGAACACCTCCAAGGTTGGAGACTCCACAGCCACCCCGGGAAACCTGAGCCAGCCTTTGGTTACCATCACAGGGAAAAGGTATTTCCTGATGTGCATCAGTGTGTGCCCATGGCCTCTGCTCCTGGCACTGGGCACCACTGGGAAGAACCTGGCTCCTTCTTCTTTGCACCCTCCCTGCAGGTGTTTGCAGACCTGGATGAGCCCTCCCCAACTCTGCTGTTCCACAGGATGAACAGCCCCAACTCTCTCAGCCTTTCCTTACAGGGGAGGTGCTTCAACCAGTTCATCATCTCCATGGCACCTCGCTGAGGAGCCCAGAAATGGACATGGGTGAAGAACAAACAATATCCATGACTCTCTCCTCGTCCTCTGAACCTGCCATAGAACAGAAAAGGCTTTAAAGTTCATCCTTTTCCAGACCCTTCCATGGGCAGGGACACTTCCACTATCCCAGGTTGCTCCAAGCCCCATCCAGCCTGGCCTGGGACCCTTCCAGGGATGGGGCAGCCACAGCTGCTCTGGGCAACCAAGAAGGCCTCACAACCCTCACGGGGAAGAATGTCTCCCTAACCTCTAATCTGAATCTACCGTTCTAGTACTTTCCGTGCACAAGGCATCAGGGATGGAAGCCCTTTGCAACCTGTGCTGACAGATCCCAGACATCTCCGTGTCGTCGCTGTGTTTGCAAACGGCTCCAGGGGTTACTGGCTCCGCCGCCTTCCCAGGGAGCGGGGCGAGGCTCCAGCCCGGAGCTCCGCACACCTTCGCCCTCGCCTTTATGTGAGATCGGTGTAACAGCGGGCAAACCGCAGCAGGGCGGGTGTGGGACGCAGCGAGGAAGGAGCTGGAGACACGGAGCGGGCACTGCAGCGGCAGCCGCTCCCGGGGCAGGCTTTGCTGAGGAAACCTTGGAACAGCGGGAGCGCGGGGCCTCGGCGGCGTGAGGGGGCGGCGGGAGCGGCCGGGCCCGTGGGCACCTCTGTCAGGAGCCTCCCGGAGGGAGGGCAGGGACAGCGGGGAAGGGAAGGGAAGGGAAGGGAAGGGAGCGGTGCCCGCGGCGGCCCGGCCCGGCCCGGCCCGGCGGCGCCGGGACAAACTAAGTTGGGCGGGCGGCCCACGTGCGGCCGGGCCGGGCCGGGCCGGGCTGTCAGCGCGGGGGGCGGCGGGGCCGGCCTTTGTCTCGGGTGGGGACGGCGTGGGATGAGGGCGGTGCGTGTGGGGATGCGCGTCTCTGTGTGTGCGGGAGTGCCACGGGCCGGACGAGTCCCCAGCCCAGCGGCCCCGTTCGCACCGGGAGCCGCGCCGGGCTCATGAAACTTTCACGGGTGTTACAGCCCCGGTCCCGCCTGCCGTGAGCCGCCC